CCCTGAACATTCACGCCCCCAGGCGCTGCCGCTCCCATGCTCGCATGCTCCACCTGCCCCTCCACATCCTCTCAGAAACCCCTGAAGTCAATCCTTCGACCCTCGATCCTTGGAGTCCCTGGAAGTCATCCGTCCTCCTTCTTCTCCTCCTCCACAATATTTCTGCTCTCCAAAATGGCAGTTAATTCATAATTGAGGTTCAAGAGGGACTCTTGGAAGCCCCCCAGAGGTGATGCCGAAACGAGGGCCCCAGTCTTGAGTAACAAGTGAGGAAGTATCGAGCGCGAGCGACGAGGGAGGACGGAAGCGGAAGGGAGGAGGGAGGAGGGAGGAGGGAGGACGGAGGCAGGAGAAGGGAGGAGACAAAGGAGACGAAAAAGGAAAGGAGGAGGGGGGAAACGGGAGGAGGAGGGAGGAAAGAGGGACGGGAGAGGGAGGAAGGAGGAGGGAGAAGAAGGGGGGGTGGAGGGAGGAAGAGGGAACAAGGAGGGAGGAGGAGGAGGAGGAGGAGGAGGAAGAAAAGAAGAGGAGGAGGAGGACGAGGGGGGACGATGAGGAGGAGCAGGAAAACGAGGAGGCGGAGGAGGAGGAGAGGAGGAGGAGGAGGAGAGAGGAGGAGGAGGAGGGGGAGGAGGAGGACGAGAGGAGGAGCGAGGAGGTAGGGGAGGAGGAGGAGGAAGAGGAGAGGGAGGAGAAGGGGGGAGGGAGGAGGAGGGAGAAAAGAGGGACGGAGGAGGGAAGAGGGACGAGGGAGAAGACGGGGGGGAAGAGGGACGAGGAGGAGGGGGGGAGAAGAGGAAGAAGAGGGACGAGGAAAAGGGAGGAAGAGGAGGGAGGGGGAATGACGGAACAGGAGGAAGAGGGGGATGAGGAGGATGAGGAGAAGGAGGAGGAGGAGGACGAGGAGGACGAGGAGGAGGAGGAGGAGGAGGAGGAACAAAAAACGCCAGTCCAGCGTAAAACGGGAGAACGTCTCGGGCGGGAGTGCTGGTTTTGTCCGGACGGGGGCTGTCGGCGGCGAGTAAGAGCACCGCCTTGAGTAAAAAAAGGAAAAAGTCTCGAGCGGGAACGTTGTTGTTGCTGGGGGGCGGCGCCGATGAGAGAAACAATAATTAGCGCGCCTGTCCAAGGTATAACGCGAGGAAATCTCGATCGGGAGCGATGGTTTTGCTGAAACGGCTGCTGTCGGCGGCCAGCAAGAGCACCGACCCTAAGCAAAAAAGGATGAAGTCTCGAACGGGGGCATTGTTGTTGTTGGGGGGCCGGTCTTGGCGGCCCCCCAACCCGCTTGAGAGTGAGCCTCATTTTGAATGAAAATGCAGCCGGCGCCTCGGCGAGAGTGCCAGGGCGCCTGAAATGGGTCCAACACGAATCATTGCTTACTAATCAGCATTCAGCAACAAGAACAGGAACAAAATCAAGAACAACAACAAAAACAACAAGAGGAACAACAACAGCAACAACAACAACAATTACTAGCACGTGGGGACACTCCGTTCTCACCAGTGCCAGGGTTTTCATAGGAGGCGGGCAATACCCCCACTTTGTGGGGGGGCCGGTTCAAGCTCTACCAAATTTCCAAACGACTCTTCGCCACCACCCACACCCAGCTTCCCGCCCTATGACGTTCGGACACTTCACTTCGTGGCATGCGGACGACCGTGGCTACTATTCAGGGCCCCGCGGCCGACGACGACGGCGTGCGCGCGCGAAGAAAAACGAATGTGTCCCGCATGGTATTATTTGACAGGGATGATGGCCCTGGCAGGTGCGCAACCGTTGTCGCAGAAGTTCGAAAAAGTTGCTCGCAAAAGCCCGTTTGACAGAAATGTTTAAAAAGTGTTGGGTTTCCTACGAATCCGCAAGAGCGCGCGGGATGAGATTTTGACAATTTTTTGTTGAAAAACCATTGGTTTTTTGATGTTTTTATGTTAAAATCGCTGCGAACACTAAGGTTTTGGAAGGATTTCGTCTTGCGCGCGCGAATGTCCACTTTACCTTATTTTTTGCAAGGGATTCTTGAAATTTGATTATATTAGAACAAGAAATGTCATTTTTCTATTGTTTTTTGCAAGGGAAAGCGGATTACAACAAAACAACCGGATCCTGTACACACCCTCTTTTCTGAGGCTTCCTCACGAAAATGATGAAAATGTAGCTGCGGCCTAGGCGGCGCAGGGGGGGCGCGCACCAGGGGGCCCAACAATAATTATTCCTTAGAATAAATAATGTTCAATCATTCTAAGACTGTTCGCTCTTATTTGCTCGCGTGTCATTCACCACGCATATCCCAAACCCTGGATGCCCGCCCTCGTCGTTTTCGATCGTACCCTTTTTTGGGGGGTATATTCATTCCCGGCCACGCGTGGTCGGTGAAGCCTTTGAAAACGAAGGGCAACACATAACGGGGGGGGACTGAGGACGAAGGGATCGGAAGAAGGGAGGGGAGGGGCGAGAAGGAGGGATGACGATGATTTGCGCTGTGGGTGGCGATTCAACT